TCTCTCTCTCTCTCTCTCTCTCTCTCTCTCTCTCTCTCTCTCTCTCTCTCTCTCTCTCTCTCTCTCTCTCTCTCTCTCTCTCTCTCATACTCTGACCTGTTTATCCCTGACAACAAATGACCTTTGAGGTCACTGAAAAACCCAAGCAACGATCCAAGTTGTCCGGATTGTCTTGACGTTTTCGGAACCTCTCAGGATCACCTGGCATACACCTGTATCGACCCGTTGCTTAAAAATAACCGAACGCTATTCTTTTCTCGAAACTCAAGCCAGTATGCCGCTAGCATGGGCCTGAAGGGCCTGGGCGAAACTGGAATACGGACAGGGGTTCTACTTCCCACACCGCTCCCGCGCACGCCCCCGCCACCCTGCCCCCCCCTTTGGAACTCCAGACTCTTCTTCTTCTTTTTGGAGATGCGGAAGGTGAACCAGTGAACCACTGCTGACTTTGAATTTTGAACTGAAGTCACAGTTCAGTTCAGACTCTTCCAACTCTTCCGACTCTTCCGACTCTTCTGACTCTTCCGACTCTTCAGACTCTTCAGAGGTTGAACTTCTTTGTCGTCGACGCTCCAAAGTTTCCAACCTCTGAAGGATCATACAGGAGTGATGCTCCAAAGTTTCCGACGAGACCCTATTGTCACAACGCTTGAAGGATCATACAGGAGTGATGCTATGACAGAGATACATGGCTCTTCCAAACGAATCTGGCCAAAGTTGCGGTCAGATGCATCCAGGAAACCATGCCCCAGTGCCTTTTGTCTGCTTCTGATGAACTACTAAAGGGCAACTTCTACATCTTTCAAACGAATCTGCCCATAGTTACGTTCAGATGCATGCTTACAGGGGCAACTTGTATGATCGCCCATGGTACTGTCCCTGAAGGAGTGCCCAAAGCCGTGAAGCAGAGCAGCAGCAGGTGGCAGCGCACTCTCATCCATCCATCCATCCATCTTTGACTCATCTGACAGCACCTCAAGCCTGTAATCCCTACAGCTAAAAAACCCAAAACCCTTCACTGCGACCCAAGGTGGGACTTCACCTGGACCCAAGGTGGGACTTATTTAGGACCCAAGGTGGGACTGACTTACTTAGGACCCAAGGTGGGACCACCCAGACTCAAGGTGGGACTTACTTAGGACCCAAGGTGGGACTGACTTACTTAGGACCCAAGGTGGGACTTCACCCGGACTCAAGGTGGGACTTCACCCGGACTCAAGGAGGGACTTCACCTGGACCCAAGATGGGACCTACCTGGACCCAAGGTGGGACGTTGCCATCCATCACCAGCCTATTGATAGAAGTTAAAACTAAAAACACACTATACAGCTCATCTATAGTGAAAAAGGGCCTCTGCACCACCTACCTTCATGATGCCAATTGTTTAAATCATTAAATCATATATCAAATGCAATTAGCAAGCACCCCAGCATGACCAGAGCAGGATTATCTCACAAACAGGATGACACACTCGATCATTCATCCAGCTGCAGGCTGCCATAGTCAAAATCCAGTCTTATACCTCCTCCAGAGTCCAGACTTCATTCTCATTGCCGGCAGTTCCTGTTGTCTTCAAACACAAACATTTCCTTGTCCTTGGAAGTGCACGGTACCTCGCCAATTTTTCATCCACCCTCCAGCTCTCCCATCATGCCCCCCCTTCATTACATAGTCCTTACAAGAAAACATCCGCCGTGATTGACGGTAGCATCCGTCCGTCCATTGATTGACGGTAGAATCCGTCCGTCCATTGATTGATGATGGTAACCGTCCAGGAAGAATCCGTCCGTCCATTCGCCCCTCCTTCATTCCATAGTACTTGGTACTTGGAAGATAACATCCACTTTGATTGACGGCAATGGCCCAGGGAGAGTCCATCCGTCTGTCGATTAACGCCCCTCTTCAGCGTTTATTACCTTGCTTGCCATCCTTTCACTGTAGGGGCGTACTCGCAACAGGACTTTTTCAGCATCGCTGCGCCTGAGTGCCGTCAAGTGGATCCATGTCTGACTGCAAAAGTGACTAGATACGTCCAAAAAAGTTGTCGTATAAATGTGGCCTCAGAAGATGTTCCTTACCGTCGATGGCGTTCACCACGGTCAATCCATCCATCCATCCATCCATAAACGCATCCTCTTTCGCATTTGTTACCTTCCTCTCACTGTGACGCTAAGTTGCAAGTTGAGCCTCATCCGAAAAAATTACCGCCAGGCGGCCGTCGATGTCGATAATTTTCGTCGGCGGCGGCGCCTGGCCTCCGAAGTTGAAGTTTGAGGCCCGCGGCCCCATAAATGAGAAAGGTAGTGGTGGTTCAAGTTCCTTATCATCAGTTTCGCTGCCCGAAGCCGTTCCCTCATTGTCTTCAGCCAAGATCACTAACCCAATATCATCACTTAACCTCCACTAATTCTAGAAGTCTTTTGCCGGAAATTGAGAGCTGGCGCTGCCGGCTAGACTTTTATGGTGGCCGCTCCTGCTTCGTGGCGATGGACAGACACAACATGCGACTTTGCTCTGATGCCCTCGCGCTTCCTACGGCCCAAGTCTGGTATTCAGCTACACTTCGTCTGAAATACACTCAAAGCTTTGACGTGATGAACATGTATATAGTATATACCACCCGATACTCCATGCGCATCCCCTCTGCCACCCCTGCTATACGGCAACGAACAGATGCAACCAGCAAATTTCTCGGTGCGCTTCCTGCTGCATCCAAATTTGCTCTTCGACTAGTGACTTCCATGTCCTCCCCTTACCCCCCCCCCCCCCCCCCCCCCCCCCCCCTCCTCCCCCTCCTGGTTTACGGTGAACAGGCAGACTTGCCGGAAGTGCACCCTTCCTCAGTCCAAAGAATTTGGAGACTCCATGCGCATTCCGTCTGCCGCCCGGCAAGTCTTCTTGGTGCGCTCTCCTCCTGCATCCATATTTGCATCTGTTCGAGACTCCGGCTTACGGCATCAAACAGATGCAACCGGACTGTTACTGGAGACCTTCTCGGTGCACTCTCCTCCTGCATCCATATTTGCTCTTTGACTAGCGACTTCCATGTGCCCCCTCCCTGCACCCCCGCCCCTCTCCCTCCCCTCCCCTCCCTTCCCTCCTGATTTATGGCGAACAGGCACAGCGTGAGACTTGCCGGCGATGTGCACCTTTCCTGAGTCCACTGGAAATTGGGTCTTCAGCTCATTGTCGAATCGAGCCCACTGGAAATTGGTTCCCAGATGTTCACTTTACCATCCCACTGACACACAATGCCGAAGATCATGTTTACTTTGTCAGGCAGGATTCTTCCAGGCCAAAAAAAAAAAAAAAAAAAAAAAAAAAAAAAAGGATTCTTCCAGGCAATAACAAGGGAAGAAACTTAGAAAAGTTTACCGAGGGTTCTTCCGGGATACAAAAGACGGGCAATATAAAATTATATAAGGAGGGGGCATTTTGACACACAGACGCAAACCAGGACTGGGCGACAACATTAACCACCAGTACCAGTCTACTGGTTTGTAAAGCTTTTGGATGGCGAGGCCAGCCGCTAGCGCTAGCGCCCTGTTGCCGCCGGTCCGGCAAGGTTCGGGCCGCCGGCGCGACTAGTGTCCCGGGGGTTTCCTCGGGTGCTGGGCCTGTGCGCGCGCCCAGCAGACGTGTGTGGTGCTTTGCCACGTGGCGTCTGCTGTTGGTGACGCACGTGTCCCRCGACGCGCGGACAGGGGTAGCGCCAGCTGTGGAAAGTTTGGTAAGAGAGTGYTTAGTGGCGGCGGCTTYAGCAACGATGGAGRGGGGCACGGAGATGGAGGAACTGTCTGCGTGGACCACTGTGATCAACTACAGACTACAGTTGGAGGAGATGCAAAGGACGCTATGCCAGGTGAAYGTGGATCTGCAATACGAGGTGCTGCTGGAGGGAGAAGAGACATATGATGGGCTGGATGAGGAGCTCTACGAACTGATTCTCTCTCGACAGCGGGACGCGAGTGACAGAGCGMGGGCGATCGCCGTCTTCTATRAYTGMGTTGACATGRCACAGCGGATAAAGGATAAGTTYTCTGACCTCTTGGCGACGAGACATGCGCGTGGTTTGCCARGCACTGASATACAGACTGCWTCTACACCTCCAACATCTTCTGCAATATCACCAACAATACTAACCTCACCATCTTCGACGACATCGGATTCGACATCCACTACTACATCATCGATGACGACATCGGATTCGACATCCACTACAGTTATATCATCGATGGCGATATCGCCATCTGCAGCAGCGAGGCCAGTGAATACGACGAGCTCTGCTCAGCAATGGGGGCTGCTTGAGCAGGCTGACGTGGCAAGGGGGCAGGACGAGGGGCTGCCCGCTGGGGCGGATTGTGCAGATCGTCTCTACTTGGACGCGCTCACAAGTTGCGGAGCCAGGGGCCTTGAGGAGGGGCAGGGCCTGTGCGCCGAGATTGTTGAGCAGTTTTACAAGGATGGCGATGACGACACCGCTGTTGATCTCACTGATACCGACCTCGCTGCTGAGGATGAGGTTACGAATGTGATGGCAGCTGCGACGGAAACAACGATAACAACAACGTTAATTACATAATATGCAAACATGAAACCTGTGATGAGATCAAACAAGGGGAGGGCACTGGTAACGCAGTGATCCAGTTGCTTTTCTCTTCCCGCTCTTCCTATGCCGTCTTGCCTTCGTATGCTGTAGGGCGCGATCGGGGGCGGGGACGTGAGGGACGAGCGATTGAGACCATTGATGAACAGGGGAAGGGAGCGGTGTGGTGGGGGAAGGGTTGGCGGCGGGAAGGGGTAGGATAGGTGATGCCCTTTACCCCTTCGTTTAAACGCACAYGAAGTTCGAGAAGTGCGGGGGAAGGTGGGTRACTCTSTTCAYTGAATTGCAARCTTGTTTCGGGTGATGATCGAGGTGGAGCGGGCGAACTTGCTATGGCAGCATAGAGTAGTACAGATAGGTGTTACCGCCTATGACGATTTGTTGATTGGCTGTGTGCTGCGCTGACCGTAATTTTAGCTTTTGGAAACCTCTGCTCCGAATGCCCCTCCTCCTTATTAGTACATGATGAGGGTTTCGGAGAAGGTTCTTTGACCCTATAGAGACGACTGCCTCATTCCCTCAATAAGGGGGTGATCGAGGTTGTCTGTCCGGATAACTTGTGCCATGTGTTGGGTGGTTTGTAGTGTTTGGTTTTAGATCCGACACGTGGCACGCCGACAGGATAGGTCTTAAACTTGCTTAGTAAATGTTATAACTCCCTATAACCTCTCCCTCCGAAAAGCCCCACCTAGTTATTGCAAGATCGCAAGGGTTTCCGGGGGGGATACATAGCAAGGAGCAGCATATCCCCTCTGTAATAACAGCAATCAAAGCTGCCCAGTAGGATACATAGCGCCGGGTGCTGGCTGGTTTGTTGTTGTAGACGTTTGTTGTGGGGTCCACACGTGGTGCGCTGATATGATTCCATAATTGATTCTGTAATTGTCAAGGGATGCTGGACCCGATTTCCAGCAGGTGTTGCTCCCCACCAATAGATGGAGCCTCCCCGGGCATGCTAGTGGTGTTTGATCTCATCAACACCACT